AAAATACCGAAACTCAGGCTTGGGGGGGGTCACAGGAACTTGGCTCCAGTTACATATGTGTGTGCGCTTGGAAGTTACATGTGTGTGTGCGCTTGGTCATTTCAGTTACATTTGCGTGTGCGCTTGGTCACTTCAGTCGTGTCAGGCTCTTTGCGACCCCATGGACTGAGTCCTCCAGGCTTCTCTGTCCATGGGGTTCTCCAGGCAAGAATATTGGAGTGGGTTGCCCTGCCCTCCTCCACAGGATCTTCCTGACCCAAGGACTGAACCCACATCTCCTGCATCTCCTGCATTGCAGTTGGATTCTTTCCCACTGAGCCGCTGGGGAAGCCCCCTCCAGTTACATAGCTAGTACTTTTCATCAAAAGTGCTTTCATCAAAAGGCATCAAAAGCATGTTCTAAATGACCCAATCAAAAAATGGGCCAAAGAACTAAACAGACATTTCTCCAAAGACATACAGATGGCTAACAAACACTTGAAAAGATGCTCAACATCATTCATTATCAGAGAAATGCAAATCAAAACCACAGTGAGGTACCATCTCAACGCTGCTCAGAATGGCTGCTATCAAAAAGTCTACAAACAATAAATGCTGCAGAGGGTGTGGAGAAAAGGGAACCCTCTTACACTGTTGATCGGAATGCAAACTAGTACAGCCGCTATGGAGAACAGTGTGGAGATTCCTTAAAAAACTGGAAATAGAATTGATGCCACTTCCTTCACAGCCATCTACAGCACTCGCATCATCTTCTTTGCACTTCTAGGACAACCTCGATTCCCAACTTTAATACTCATTAATATGACCCAGCAATCCCCCTGCTGGGCATACACACCCAGGAAACCAGAGTTGAAAAGGACACGTGTACCCCAATGTTCATCACAGCACTGTTTACAATAGCCAGGACATGGAAGCAGCCTAGATGTCCATTGGCAGAAGAATGGATAAGAAAGTTGTGGTACATATACACAATGGAATATTACTCAGCTATTAAAAAGAAGGTATTTGAATCAGTTCTAGTGAGGTGGATGAAACTGGAGCCCATTATACAGAGTGAAGTAAGTTAGAAAGAAAGTCACGAATACAGTATATTAATGCATATATATGGAATTTAGAAAGATGGTAAAGTGAAGTCGCTCAGTCGTGCCCAACTCTTATCGACCTCATGGACTATAGCCTACCAGGCTCCTCAGTCCACGGAATTTTCCAGGCAAGAGTACTGAAGTGGGTTGCCACTTCCTTCTCCAGGGGATCTTCCCTACTCAGGGCTTTACCCTCTGAGCCCGTAACAACGACCCTATATGCGAAATAGCAAAAGAGACACAGATGTAAAGAACAGACTTTTGGACTCTGTGGGAGAAGGCAAGGGTGGGATGATTTGATAGAATAGCATTGAAGCATGTATATTACCATATGTGAAATAGATCACCAGTCCAAGTTTGATGCATGAAACAGGGCACTCAAAGCCGGTGCACTGGGATGACCCAGAGGGATGGGATGGGGAGGGAGGTAGGAGGGGGTTTTGGGATGGGGAACACATGTACACCCGTGGCTGGTTCATGTCAATGTATGGCAAAAATCCCTACAGTATTGTAAAGTAATTAGCCTCCAATTAAATCAATTAATTTTTTTAAAAAAGCATCTTCTTCAGTGTATTAGTAAGGATCATGGTCAGAGTGGCATAATTTATCTGCTCTTTCCTATTTGTACCTCAAATTTCTCCACTCTGCCCATCTCCCAAGGGCTCCCTCAGCCGGGTCCGAGTGTGCTCTGGGGAGTTTTAAGTGACCCAGGAACTTATTTAGGCAAGACTGTTAGTACACCATCCCTTTGTACATGTAAGATTCCCACTGCATCTCCACCTCCAAGAAAGATCAATTGTGGATGAGTGAACAGGTTTTCATTAACCAAACACACACCCATTGTTTTCCAGGTGGATTATCTACAGAGACAAAGAACACAATGGTGAAGATGGCTGTTTCCTTAGCATTAAAGAAGTGAAGAAAATTCACCATCCTAAGTGCCAAGAAAAAGGAGGACGTAAACACAAACTCCCTTGACTAAGCCATTAACCTGGTTAATTCCTCCATCCTTCAAGACTCAGCAGAGGCAAGCATCCTCAAAGAAACCTTCCTTTGTCTTCTCCTCCATCTGAGTTAGGAGCGCTCCCTTATTTTCCCAGGTGCATACTTGGCTTAACTCTGGCACGGGACCTATTATACTGCACTGCTTTATAGAGCATCTGCCTTCTCATGAGTCCATGAGCTCCCTGGATGAAAAGGATCATGCCTCTTCCTGTATCTTTAGTATCTAGCACAGTCCTTGGCACATAGAAGAACTTCAGTAGCTGTTTCTGAATCAATATCAATATTTTCTTATTATGAACAGTGATAGAAGACATCAAGAGGGCAGACTTTAACATTTTGTAAATCAGAAAAATGAGTCAGAGCTTAGAAGAAGTTTAGATGACTAAAGGTGGAAACTCATTATCTATTTTTAGCTCCTTTTAACTGCTAGAAGTCAACTCTAACCTGTTGTTTAATCTCCAGGGTAGAGAGGACTGGAACAATGAAATAGGCTCTAAAAAGTTATTTAATCACCAATTCTGATTCATCCTTTGGCGCATCCTTGTTAGCTATCACCAAAAACCATTTAAAAGCCATGCTTGGTGTTCTATAGAGGAATTTTAATTGCAATGATTACAAATCAGGGACCTCTTCAATATAACAAGAAACACTGATGTGTTTACACATGTTCCAGGCAATTATGAGTGTTCCTCTTTCAAGCAAAAATATGTCTCTCTTACTGTTTATTAGACTATATTCTGAGAGTAACTATAGAAACTACTAGTTAATTGTTTACTCAATAAATCATTTTATAGCTATGAATCTGTATAAGTCTCTTTGGCAGGCAATGAGAGGCTCAATATACAGACCCACATTGGCAATGCAGGAGACCTGGGTTCAATCCCTGGGTCAGGAAGATTCCCTAAGAAGGAAATGGCAACCCACTTGCCTAGAAAGTTCGACCGACAGAGGAACCTGGTGGGCTACAGTCCACGGAGTCACAAAGAGTTGGACACGACTGAGTGACTAACACTTTCACACTTTTAATATGAGAGACCCACGCTGGACCCTGACAGACTTTCCCATCTAAGAGAGGACAAAACAACAACAACCACGACTGAGCAATACAGCAAATCATTCAAGACGAAATGTAAGTAAACACTACATTGTATTTTGCAGATGAAGGTGGTATAGATGGGAGGAAGAGATACCGCGACAGCTGAAGATCTGAGGAGGTGCAGCAGGAGCTGATATTTCTTAGTGCCTGCCATGCTTTCTGGTCACATTGCCAGGTCAGGTCAGGCTAGGAACAGAAATGTAAATTTCTAGCCTTTTGTCTCAAAAAATGTGACTGCTTCATCAACCTACAGGTACAGCCCATGGGCTTCAGATTAGAAAAATTGATGCTTTTTATTGGCAGATTCTCTATCTGTGAATTTGCCTCCCTATGAAAATGTGTGATACCAGAATCAATAGAGCGCTTTCATGGTCCCTCCTGAACAAGTGCAGAGCCCTGAAAAAGTTAGGGGGACTGGTATATACCTCCTAGCAAAGGAATCAAAAGGCTAACCGCCACCTTTTTGTTTCAGCTCTCAGATGGTACACAAGTGCCCTTCTCAGACTACAATGAAGGCTACTATGAAGGTGAGTTCTACTATTTAAAAAGGCCTCCATGCCTAGTTGGTGGTATAGTGGTGAACATAGCTGTCTTCCAAGCAGTAGACCTGGGTTCAATCCCCAGCCAACGCAGCAGACTGGTTTTTGGGGCTTCCCAGGTGGTGCTAGTGGTAAAGAACCCTCCTGCCAATGCTGGAGACTAAAAGACATGGGTTGGAAAGATCAATCTCTGGGTCCAGTCCCTGGGTTGGAAAGATTCCCTGGAGAAGGGCATGGCAATCCACTCCAGTATTCTTGCCTGGAGAATCCCATGGACAGAGGAGCCTGGTGGGCTAAGGTCCTAGCTGTGGGCTAAGGTCCTAGCTAAGGGCTAGGGTCGCAGAGTGTGACACAGCTGAAGGGACTTAGCACTCATGCATGCCTGCACCAAGCCTAGTGCTAAAGAGCTGTGGGGTATCCTAAGTGCCTGAAGGCTGTCTGTGCCTTAGGGAGAAATGCAGATATTGAATAAACTTCATAAGTTCTATTCAATTCTGCTAAGTTAAATAAGCTTAATAGTGCTGTGGGCTGGGGGAGTTCAATATTAGTGAGTGAACAGTATGTAGTAAATAAGGTATTTTTAAACAGAAACACACATCAGACAAAGTTCTATACTAACAAGGTGACAAAAAAGTATTGAGTCCAGAGGGTCAGAGGAGCCTACCACTGTATTTCCACCAGAAACAAAGATCCCTTATTGTAAAGCCTGTTTCCTTCCTCTGTTCAAGAGTATTGTCTCCCTATGCTGCAAGCCCATGGGTCTGGCCATTGGCCAGCAGTGGCATTCATAAGGAACTGTCCCATAAATACACACATACCCTTTCATCTCCAGTATTCTGACAGCAAGTGTCAACAGTGGTACTTTCTTCACCTAGGATATTGATTCCTAATTATTTCTTATTGTTAATGATTGATACCCTTTTCCTTGATTTAAACGTACACATAATTTTACCCCACATGCTCCGTTGGCATAGATTCCAGAGCCACCGAACCACTAGAGTGTACCAGGGCCACTGTTTAATGATTTATCAATATTCAGGTCTGTGAACCGGCAGATGATTCTGACGATTATTTACATGAACCTCGGTGATACCCAAAAGAAAAATGCTTTTATGTTTGTGGATTATTTCAATGAACTATAGAAAGTGGGTATCAAAAAATGTATCCCCCCCCCCCCAAAAAAAAAAAAAAATTGAAGGCACCTCGGACCTCGAGCCTGCTTCAGACATCCCCGGGCGGAGCACGCGCCCTGAGCCCGGAGCGCGCGCCCCCGGCCCGATGCCCGAATCGGCCGGCAGGTGGCGCCCAGCGGTGGGCTGCACCCCCGCGCGGTCTGGGCCAGGTAGACTGGAAGGGGCGGAGGTAACCGGGAGCGGGCAGCGGAGGCCGCCCGGCGTCCCCCACCCGCTCCACGCCGCGCTCGCTACACGCGTGCGGGGAAGAGGACGCGGCCAGCTGCCTTCCGAGCTCCGGCGCCGCCGCTGCTTCTCCACCAGGTGCCGGGCGTCCCCGCCACTCTCAGTCCGAAGTCGGCCACCATGGAGGCGCAGGCTCGAGGTGAGTGGTCGCCGATCGCCCCGAGGGTCAGGCCCTGGGGCTCCCAAAGGCCCTTTCCCCGCAGCACCTAACTTTGCTCCCCGGCCGAGCGGATGGGTGACCTCAGCCCATGTGTCCACCACTCTACTCCTCCCCGCGCCTGCGGGACAGTTCCCGCTCCCCCAAACTCAGGATGTGCTGTGGGCTGGGGACCAGTGGAAAGGACCCTCGACAGGAAACGCGCCCCGGGATTGCTCGACTTCTTTCCCGGCCAGTCGCGCTCGCGCTTCCCACACCTCGCGGGCGCCCGCGGGACCTGTTGGGCAGGGGCCGGAGAACCCCTTTCGTCCCCTTCTCCCCGCGGGGAGTAGGGAGGGGACGCGACGACTCCTGCGGTACACGGTGGGTTCGCGTCCTGCACCCCGAATCCCGGACTGAGCGCAGCGCGCGCCGAGGGGCTGGCTCCGCGGAGACCCCGGGTCTCCCGGATGCCAGGGGTTTGCAGCGCGGAGATCTGCCTTCTGAGGCAGAGTGCGTTATCCGCCGGCTGATCTTCGCAGCTTGACCCAAGGGTCCCGGTTTCCTTCGGTCGGGGGGCGACTTCTGCCTCCCTTGGGGCGCGGGGCCTTCGTGCTCCGCGGGTCGCTGGCTCCAGGAGCCCGAGAGGGCTTCACCGAGGGCAGCCTGGTGTCTTGAGGTCGCCAGCAGAGAAGGGTTAGGGAATCCCGATGGAATCGTGCCAGAATGGAAGTAAATGGTATGTGTAAAGAAGCAGAGATGGACGAATGTGGAGCAGGAGACTGGTAGGAAGTCTCTGACTCTATAGAGTCTCTCTTGGGAGCAATGCAGGGAAGGAATGGATGCGGAGTTCAGCCTTTTTCAGGCTTTAGAACAATCATCACCACCTTTCTTCCACGGGAAATTCTATGTAGGCTTTTAAATCAAATAAGAGCCCCGTTTAAAAAATTTAAAAAAGGAAGAAGAGGTTCATGACCCTATGTGCTCCCCTTTTAGGGGCTTCAGTGTCCTACATGAGAGCGACTTGGCAGATGCTGGGTCTGGAGTCACCCAACAGGTTTGGCTGCCAGGCTTACAATGGTCTGAACAGTAGGAACCATTCTCATTCTTTCCATCAGCCAAGATCTTGTCCATAAAGCTGCTGCTTCCAGTATTTTTCCTCCACTACCTATCTAAATGGGAAAGGAGAATTCAACCAAGGGTGGGGATTTTTGTATGTGTGCTCAGTCGTGTTGGACCCATTGCAACTCCATGAACTGTAGCCCACCAGGAATTTTCCATGGAATTTTCCAGGCAAGATACTGGAGTGGGTTGCCATGCCCTCTTCCAGGGAAAATTTCTCAACTCAGGGATCGAACCTTCATGTCTTGTGTCTCCTGCACTGGCTGGCAGATTCTTTATGCCTGTGCCTCCTGGGAAGCCCCTGGGGAGCTTCTTAGTCTAATTCAAAAGTTGAGATCAGGTCAGAGGCCTTCACTCCTAAGCTGAAGCAGGTAGGAACAGCTGGAGCTTTCCAACCTGCTTTGCCGGTGAGAATCATTTGCAGTTTTAAATACAGGCCCTGGCCCATTCCAGATCCAGCAAACTGGAATCTCTGGGGCCTGGGCCTGGATTTATTTGAAAGCTTCCCAAGTGAATTTGTTATTCAGTGAGGTTGGAGAGAAAAACTACAGCAGGTAGGAAACATGCATCAGACTGGACCCACCAGTGTTATCCGTTTGCTTTACTTGTGAGATTTACTTAACAAACACTCCAGTGCTTTCCTTTGCCAAGCACTGTGCTAGGCGGAACAAACATGGCCTGGATCCCTGCTTTGTGACATTTATAGTGGAGGAAGAGACGGGAATTAATTTGAGAGTTATTTGATAACTAAATGGAAAAATTGCAACCATCTAACTGAGAAGAAGAGGACCACGGTGTAGTGAGAGCCTGAAGGAAGCTCCCAGCCTAGTCAGGTAGTGAAGTGAAGTCGCTCAGTCGTGTCCAACTCTCTGCAATGCCACGGGCTGTAGCCCACCAGGCTCCTCCGTCCATGGGTTTTCCCAGGCAAGAATCCTGGAGTGGGTTGCCAGTGAGGGCCTTAAGGGAGCTCGCAGCCCAGCAGGTGACAGTCAAACCAGCAGAGTTTGCTCACTGTGTCCCTGCTTCTGCTCTTTGTGCCTTACACGGGTTGATTCACTGCTTCATAGCAGTTCCATGAGCTAGGTAGTGTGGTCCTTCCCATTCTCCAGAAAGGAAACAAGCCAGACATGTAAATCCCTTGTGACAACAAGTATATAATATTGCAGAGTGGATGCTGTAAAGGCCCACTCCCCACGCAAAGCCTACCACTTTCAGAAGACAACTAAAACTTAAGTCCCTACCTGCTCTTCCTCTCTTTGGCCCCCTCTGCCTCTTCTCCCCTTCATATGAAGCCCTCCTAGGGAGACTGGGTTATGGTAAAGGTCAGCCAGGGGGACAAAAGTAAATAGAGTTAAGAAATACTTGGGAAGAAAAAAATGGTAACTTGGATTGGCTGTGAAGGATGGTGGTGTCAAGGATGACTTTCAACTTTATAGTTTTACAATCAGGTGGATGATATTTGCCCCTTAAATTATCATCTTCCCAGTACATTAAGTTCTCCATTTTCAGACTTTTTTTTTTTTTTTTTTTGGTCAGTTAAGAAGCAGACGTATTCTTTAAGAATGAAACATTTCACAAAATGTTTATAGTTTATGTTAAAGAGATCTTCTTTCCATTTGGTCCATTTCTCTGGCTAAATAATTGCCTCTTAGATTCTAAGGGAGTCCTATAGTTTCCTAAATGCAAGCTTCTATCCTCAGCACTGTTTATTTTAGAATTATCTAGAGTGGGGATGGCTTATCTTTCTGCCCCTTGATCTAGAGAAAAGCAAACATGAATGAGGTTAAGTGGTCAGTGCTATTGAGATGTCCTCAGGTATTTTATAGTACCTCTTCCTGGAGGAGGGGATGGCAACCCACACCAGTATTCTTGCCTGGTGAATCCCATGGACAGAGGAGCCTGGGGGTTCCAGCCCATGGGGCTGCAAAGAGTCGGACAGGACTGAAGTGACTCAGCATGCACTTTATAGTACAGATGCTATGGACTTCGTTTGCACTCAAATCTCCATAAATGCAGTAGTGTGTCTTAGAAGTAAAATGCTGCTGTTAGGTTCTTTGACTTTGTAGAAGAACAGATTACTTCCAACAAAACAGGAAGACATTCTGGGAACTTGGCAGAAGGAAAAACATGGAAGTGGGGCTAGGAACAATTCCATGAGGCGAGGCTGGAGAACTGTGTGCGGTGAGAGGCCCACAAGAGGCTAGTGTTGCCAGTTGTTTTCCTGGTACTAGAGAATTTTGCTTTAATAAAATTGATATATTAGAGAGAGAATTTATTTTGGAATGTAGCACTTTTCTGAAACATATGGCAGTCCTTTAAAGAAGGTTCCTGATCTTTTCATATTTCATTATGAAGTGAAATATTTCATATTTCATTATCTTTTCACCTTTCATATTTCATTACTTGAGAAATTAACTTTTTGTTTTTCCCAATGTCTTGAATGTTAAAAGGAAAAATTTCACTTAATACTTGCATGTATTCAGAAAAATAATTGTATTAGTGTCCTATGATTGCTGTAACAAATTACTACAAATATAGTGGCTTAAAACAACAGAAATGTATTCTCTCACAGTTCTGGAGGCTTGAAGTCCAAAATTACCATCGCTGGACCAGAATTAGGGTGTCAAACTTCTATCTTTCTGGATGCTCTCAGAAATACTTTTTCCTTGCCTCCTCCAGCCACTGGCCACATGTCTTCAGTCTCTGCCTTTGTGGTCCCGTCGCCTTCTCTTCTATCAGATCTCCTTCTGTCGCTCTTACAAGAATATTGGTAATATTTCATTTAGAGCTCACCTGGAGAGTCTAAGATAACCTTCCTATCCCAAGATTCTTTACCCATAAAAGGTAATATTTACAGGCCCCAGGGATCAGGACCTGATATCTTTGGGGGCCAATATTCAGCCAATTACAGTAACTATTTTTTATATTCAGACATTCTATTCAGGAGAATTCTCAGAAGTCCATGAATGACTTCAAGTAATATATATCAGATTAAGCCTGTTTGCAGATTCCATTAAAGTGAAATGTCATGTTTATCTTACGTTCCTCTTTGCTCACAGGACATTTGTTTGGACTCATCTTGTTCCAGGAAGAAGTCAGGGCACTTTATACAGACAAATGAAACACAGGAAGATAATGTAAGTTAGATGAAAGAAAACAAACAGATAAGAGCAGAAAGTACAGCAAAGAATGAGCTCTAGAAAAAATGAATACAGTTATATCTTTTATTAATATTCCATGCAAACAAATTCTCGCTTTGTAAGCAAAGCATATTATTGTTTTTTGACAAAAAAGTAAAATAATCCCTTTTCTCTCAAAGAGCAAGAGGTTAAGTCTCTTATATTGTAGGGATCAGATTACCCAAAGAAAAAGAAATCTATTTCCCACATTTCAGGCTGTACAATCGTAAACCTCAAACTATGGAAGCTAGGTATTACACCTTTTGATTTATGACTTTGATTTATGCCTATGATTATGACTTTGATTTATGACTTTTAAAAATATTATAGAGAGTATTCTTGCTGTCTTCAAAGCTACTTTCTACTGTTTTACTTTCCCTCTAAATAAAAATTTTAAAGTAGGTAGTGATCTGTATATAAGATAAAGTCAATCATTTGTAACAAACCATATACTGTTAGGCTTCCCTGATAGCTCAGTGGTAAAGAATCCACCTACCAGTGTAGGAGACACAGGTTTGATCCCTGGACTGGAAAGATAACCTGGAGAAGGATTAACCCACTCCAGTATTCTTGCCCGGGAAATCCCATGGACCGAGGAGCCTGGCAGACTACTGGTCCATCGGGTCACAAAAGAATCAGACACAGCTTGGTGATTAAACAGCAGCATGTACTGTTGTTGCAATTAAATTTTTTATAAAATGGAGTCACACGAGTCATAGATATTATGTTGTTGTCATTGTTGTTCAGTTGCTAAGTTGTGTCCAACTCTTTGTGACCCCATAGACTGCAGCACGCCAGGTTCCTCTGTCCTCCACTATCTCTAGGAGTTGGCTCAAATTTATGTCCATTGAGATGGTGATGCTATCTAACCATCTCATCCTCTGCCACCTCCCTCTCCTTTTGCCTTCAGTCTTTCCTAGCATGAGGGTCTTTTCCAAGGAGTCGACTCTTCGTATCAGGTGACCAAAGTATTGGAGCTTCACCTTCAGCATCAGTCCTTCCAATGAATATTCAGGATTGATTTCCTTTAGGATTGACTGGTTTGATCTCCTTGCAGTCCAAGGGACTCTCAAGAGTTCTCTCCAGTACTACAGTTCAAAAGCATCAACTCTTTAGTGCTCAGCCTTCTTTATGGTCCAGCTTTATGGTTTTTATGGTCTAACTCTCATATCCATACATGACTGCTGAGAAAACCATAGCTTTGACTATATGGACTTTTGTCAGCAAAGTGCTTTTTAACATGCTG